AAAAATAATATTAATTTAATGTAAAATGGAGAATATGTATACAAAGAAAAGTCTATATATACATAAAAACCCAGATTGCAATAATTGAAAAAGAAAAAATTTTGCAATCATAAAGAAGTTTTATGCTAATTTACCAGCACAGTTTTGCCTTTGTAAGACAAGTAGACGCAAGACCGACCCACTTCGTTGCCAGCTCCCAAAGGGGTTATAGTAAGCTGATCTCCTTCTCTTGTTACTGCCATGTCCTTTCTCTTGAGTGATTGTGGTTGTACTGTTGAAGCCATTCTTTGCTAAAAGAGTGCTCTTGAATTAAACCCACAATACAGATTCTCTCAAATTGCTTCCCAGATGCAAATACGGTCGGAAAATTTTAATACCATTCACTTCCACCTGACCAAATTTTTATTGTCCCGGATAGAGGAGGAGGGCGCTTATAACCCTGATTTCATGGATAAGGGAGGTGGACGACGGAAGACGAAGACGAAGACGAAGACGAAGACGAAGACTTCGTTCGGCTCCAGACCAATAACAAAACAGAGAGAAAAACGACCACAGTGGGAGTCGAACCCACGACCTTCTGATCCGAAGTCAGACGCGCTAATCCACTGCGCTATGCGGTCATTCGTGTTTTGCTTGGGCATTCTGATATAATTATTTTCTAAATTTTTCATGATCTGCAACTAACGAAGCATCTCCCACAAGTGAGAGGGAACCCCATGAAAGTCGTACAGCGGCAAGAAATGATGCTGCCACCCATGCTAACTGCACTTTCGTTTCTATTTCTTAAGGGTATACTTGTTCTTCGAAGTTGGAAGTCCTGATCCATGACAATCCAAATTCTATTGTGTTGATCTTCATTCTTAAGTTATGCCAATTTGGGAAACGACATTCTATATATATATATTTTTATTTCACAGAAAAAAGAAAGTGTTATTGGCATGTAATGGAACTTTTTTTTATTTTTTTTATCCAGAACAATTTTTTGAGAGATGAGAGGTTGAACTCAATTCATGGAATTGAGTGATACACATCATTACTAAGCGACCTATAGATGTGTGGCATGTAATGAAACTTTTTATAAGAAAATGATTAAAAAAATTTTCTTTTATATATACTTTCTTACAACTTTACATATTATTTAATAACAATTTATATATATATTTAAATAATACGTAAAAATAAAAATTAAACAAAAAATTATCCGAGAGTTAAAAAATTAGTTTTGCATATCATTACCCCGATAGCTAATCGTCCAGAAATGCACTATGAAAGTGCACAAAGTCAATACCAGGGTTCTTAAAGTCAAAAATCATAAAATAATAGACTGACACCTCCCCTGCTAAATAACTTATTTAACGGCAGCAGCAAAAGCAAAAGTCTTTCTTACCCAAAAAAATTTTTAAAAAAAGGAGCATGAGTCTAAGCTCTTAAAACCATCTGGAAATGCTACAAGCTCCGACTCCACTAGAGACCAAAATGAAAAACACACGAACTATGGATTATTTACCATGACCATGAGAAATTTTACATTGAAGCCTACGGTTCTAAGTTTATTGCACGTGATAAAGACACAGAGAATGATGTGACTTCCATATTCTGGGCATGACCACCCTCCAGCATTGATTCAAATAACCATTCATACCTCAGAAGTTCCCCTGCAGACACCAATGACTATCGTCAACAAATATGGGAACAATAGGCGAACAAGAAAGAATAAAATTTGCATTGGTTTGAGTGTAGCAGAGCTAATACACGGTCTAGCTTTAATTAAAGGGGGAATGTAACCGATGTCTTACTTGGTCTATCACTGCTTGCCCGATGGGTATGGGTTTGAAGCCCCTTGTTCACTTCTCAGCTCACCTTGTGGTAAACCTGGGCTCCCTTGCCCTGCATAACCTTGCCCATAGCCAGGAGTTGCACCTTGCCCATAACTTTGATCAGGGCCCGGAGGAGTTCTTCCCTGTCCATAATTTTGCCCATAGCTGGGAGCTGCTCCTTGCCCATAGCCAGGACTACCTCCTTGACCAACCCCATATCCTTGGTAATTCTGGCCATAGCCAGGATTTGCTCCTGACCTAAAATTGCCACTTTGTGTTGAAAGATGATCTCTGCTATCTCCCCCATAAACCCTTTGCTGCAAATAATTCCTCTGTTCTCCTTGAGGGAAGTTCCTTTGTTCTTGTGGATAATAATTTCCCTGCCCCCCTTGATTATAATTGCCCTGATATGATGGCATTGGACCCCTCCCAGAGGGATTGTTCATCGGCTGCTGTGGACCGTAATTTTGTTGAGGTGGATAATTTTGAGGAGGCCCATAGTTTCTTCCATCCCCTTGCATAGGTCCCTGCTGACTGTGTGGTGGGATACCCTGCTGGTTTGGAAATGAGCCTCGCTGATCAAATCGCTGTTGGTTGAAATTCCTATTACGATCCCGGTATCTTCCCCCCTGATTTCTATTATATTGAACCGGGGGTGGCCGGTGAGTGATCACTCCATTCTCATATTTGTCACCTAGCAACAGCAGCATAATGTTCAGGTATGCAATTCAATCAGTATTATACTGCAAAAAGAGTTCAAATGCTAGCATAAACTAAGAACAATATAAAGTTAGTAAGAAGGTTTCAATAATACTTTAAGTCTCTAACACTTCATTCTTATTATTAACTTTGTAAGGGTTTGAGCTAGTGAGCGGTTGAGGAAGGGGAGCACAAAATAAAGTAAAATCCTAACCTCCATACTCCTTGTTTGCTGGATCAATATAAGAATCTGGCAAAACAAAAACAACTCCAGGTATATCTGTTTAGAGCATAACGGAAAAAGTCAGTATTTACAAAGTACACAATTTTCTATCTCAATATGATATGCAGAAAAACACTCACTTTCAAACTTTTTAGATTCCTCCTCTGTCATTATAGCCTGAAAGCCTTCATAAGTTGTTGTGCTGCAAGCATATATCTTCTTCTTTGCCTCCTCAATACTGCAAACATTAATCCAAAGTCAGCATAAAAATAAAAACCCCTGAACTGCAGAAGCCAATATATACCAATAAAGAAAGAGTTTCAAACGGAGAGACACAAAATCTATCCCAATGTTTAAACCATGTCTAAGGAAAACATACCAAAGGAAAAAAAGGGTCATCATCACATCCAGACTTGCACTAGATTTCACTTAGCTGCTTCTCCTTTCAATTTGAAAAAATCAATACCAAATTTTATCAAAGCCTGCCTCAATACCTCCATCACAGATTTTATCATCAATCAATCCTACATAAAACTTAAATACACTACGAGTCCTACATTAACACTTAAATACACAAAGTTGAAAAAAAAAAGAGCACTGTAGAAACAAAATAAATCAAAGAAGAGATAAAGGCATTGTTTTCACTTGAACAGTGACAGCATCAAACAATAACAGTAACAAAACACTAAAATTGCACAGAGCAAAAACATGATTGAGTAGAAACGTGCTGAAGAGAGACCAGCTAGACTTGTATGGAGGATATCTACGAAGAAGGATACCTTATTCCAAGCCCTTTAGCGCATATTTCCTCGTAAGTGCGCACCATCTCTTCAGGCGAAGGCTTGGGGTCCTTAGGGAAATCGACGGTGATGAGCCAGTGATTAAAATCACAGCCCTCGAACAACACCGTGTCTGGTGTAATCTCATCCCCTTCCTTGTACAGTTTGTATTGAGATGAAGAAAGCAAGCTCGCCGACGATCTGAACGAGCGAGACTGGAAGATTGTGAAACGTGATGGTGATGCCGGCAGTGACGAGATGGAAGTAGAAGCGGGCAATTGGAAGATAGGGATCGAGCTTAGGCGGGCTGTTGAGTAAGAAGCGGAGAGAGCGCGGTGGAGAGAGGTGACGGTGGTGAGAGCTCGACGGAGGCGGAGAGGGTGGAGAGCCATGGCTAGGGTTTTGGGCTTTAGAAGATACCCTTGTTTCTCCAGATTGTTCTGTGTGAGAGTGAAACCATGGTATCTATAAGCAGTGTATCAGAAGTGGGCCATTCTGGGCCTCGTTATTACCGGTGTTGGTGGATCATTGGATCCACAGAAGCAATTGTGAATACGGGTGGGCTGATTTAACATATTCGAAAATGGACCGCCGAACAGAACACAGGTAAAAATGGGGGTTTCAGTTTCAGTTTTTTTTTTTTTTTTTAATCTAATGCTAAGTTACATAAAAGCAAGTAGTTCCTTTGCGCTCTCAAATTTTTTTTTTTACCTAATTCAAGATTCAAAGGAAGCAAAAAAATAAATAAATAAATAAATAATTCAAGATTCAAACATGAGACTTACAATTTAAAATCTCATGTTCTTAATTTATTAAGCCATCCCTTATTTATTTGATCCTTTGATATACCACTTTTATTAAGTTTAAAGTTGGTTTTAATCTCTTGTGAAAAATCCTGTTAAGATGAAATCATATGTGGCAGAGTATTTATCTGAATCTTTGGTGGGCATCTCAGCCTTCACCAATTAAGAAGGATAGGAAGAAAATAATGCAAGCAATGCAGTGGAAGGGAAGGTTTAAACTTTAAACTCACTTGTGTTTTTCTCCTTCTTTTTTTTTTCTTTTTTATAGCGGTAAGATATTTTCAAGTCAACTAATGTATACCTAGAAACTAATTAATCCAATTATGGTGGTGCCTCCTGAGGCTTGTGGTTTGATGACTCTTTGTCCCGTTGAAGGTGTATCCCTAATTCAAGGGCTAGATTTGAATCCCCAACCCCCAATGTAATCTGTTAAAAAAAAAAAAAATCCAATTATGGACATGAAACGGCAGACTCTAATAGTATAAGATTATTATTGAAACTAAAACATTTTCATTTTGTGACAGCAAATGAAACAAAAGCCTTAATAATAACTCATTCAGAAATACAACACTATAATATCTCTTAACCAAACTAGCTAGTTAATTCAACCGACAAGACAACATAGAATTAGGAACATGAGGAGATAATGATGAACATGGTCTTGCATATATGCAGCTTCTTCTTAAGCAGTGAGTTCCTCCTCCTTGTGTGTCTCAATGACGACTTCGCTCTGAGGGTAGGCAACACAGGTCAGAACCCAACCCTCTGCCATCTGGTCATCCTCAAGGAAGCTGCCATCGGACTGGTCCACTTTGCCCTCAACGATCTTACCAGCGCAGGAAGAGCAAGACCCTGCCCTGCAAGAGTATGGCAGGTCGATCCCGAGTTCCTCGGCATGGTCCAGAATGTAGACGTCTTCCGGACACTCGAATTCCTGGGGTCCATCGGGAGTGATGAGCTTGACTTTGTAGGCAGACATGACGAGACGTCCTCCTCTCAGAGGTTTTAAGCCGAACAGAGCCTGACCCATGTTGGGGAGAGAGCGGACGCCAGTGGTCTGCTGGCCGAAGACGACGGCGGTGCTGACTGGAGCAAGCGATGCGAGGGAGGCCATTTTTTTGCACGAGGCAGGGTAGAGGGAAGGATAAGAGCTTGGTGTGGAAATAGGAGGCTAAAGGGGGCAGGGTGAGAGCCTGTGTTGATAATGGGGAATACAGTGGCTAGGAAAGAAACGGGTATCTGCCACGTGGCCGGTTGTTATAGGGTTTCGTCATCCTTTTATTATCACCATAGGTGTTTGAAAATGAAAATTTAATGGTGAAAGGAGACGTAACGTAGCCAGCGCGATCTCCCACCGAATATGACGTTTTTCCCTTTAGAAAAATTGTTTGTTGTCTAAATTATATGGATTATATATAAATAATTATTAAATAAAAAATATTTTTAATAATAATTATTTTTTATTTAATAATTTTTATTTTACAATACAATAATACTCTTCTTTTATTTTTTACATTTTCGTGGGACATCAACGGTATGATAGTCTAATAATACGGCCAATTTTCAAGTTTGATGGTATCAATCAGGGGTCATTACGACCGCACAATTAGGAAACACAAGTAACGGGATGTGGACATCAGCTGTACAGTCCTCCGGTACTTTTCGAGTCTCTTTATGGAGCTTCTTGGCAAAAGCCACACCATACCTTTGGTTTAGGAATCCTCAGGTTTCTATAATTCAATTCAACCCCAAAATTATTTTTATTTGAGATTTCTTGCATCTTAAAATTTCTTGTAATATTTTCATTCATAACGCAACAGCTAACCGATAAGAGTGCACTAGTCAACAGGTCAAGACAATGGTGCAAATTTAATTCCCTTTGTTGGCATTCACATTTTATTTAGTTTAGATCTGTAGATAAAAGTATCATTTATATATTAAGTGTAAAGATTAAGTTTTGAAACTAACACAATAATAATAATAATAATAATAATAATAATTTTTTAAATGTATAAGTTAAGGTGAGAATATTCCCTTAAGATTATATAGAAAAAGATTAATTTCAAAGTTTACAAAAAATATCGGAAGACATTTGACCATCCAAAAAGTAGAAAAAGAAAAATTCATCCAGTTTTTATAACAAATAAAAAAGACAAACTATTATTGAATACTAAGACTCCAGTTTCCCGGAGTTTTGCAGAGTTGATTTATTCACCACAATAATAAAAAGAGTGGAACATTCTTATCGTCTGAAAGGGCACAAAGAGTAAAGGAATATTTCAAAGGGATTCATACTCTTGCAGTGAAATTATAAATATATAATGCAGTAACACGCATATAATTCCACCATCATATGCTCATAATTTAACATATCACTGAATTCATTAAGTCCTTCCCCTTGTCAAATCAAATCCTCCAGGAGCAGAATGAAAAAAGAAAAAGAAGGTTGTAGCCGTAGTTCTGAATGGGGTTAAGGAAAAAATTACAAGACCACAGGAGTCCGATTTTTCCTAACTTCTGACTTGTAACTTCTAAATTCTAATAAAAGCTTTTTCACTTACAACCGGGGAAAAGGCAAAAATTTCATGGATTCCCCAAATCCACAGAATGAAGACTACATTCCTATTGTTGAAGCTTGTTGTTTAATATGTTGGCATTAAGGGTCCCTATACTTTGACCAGATACTTCCTCTCAAAATTTATTGTCTTGAGAACTAACCTGCTCAGCGAAGCAAGGTAAGGGTCCATTTTCCTTGGTGGTGTTCTAGTCACACTTGATGTTTCTGTAGATCCTCCTCACAAACAAGTTAGAGCCAAGATAACCAACAGCTCCTGCATACATAATGGGAGTGATAAAAATCATGTCAAGCATAAAGGAGAGATGTATCTAGTCCAAAGGAGAGGTGCCTCATGAAGAATTTAAATGTGCTCGCTATATTTAGTCACAATTGAATATAAATGGAGATCTAATCCAACCATCAACTAGATATCAACTGTATTGGATTAACAGGCAGGATTAAGTACCTTGACTGAAGAAAAGAGAGATATCATGGTAACATGTAAAGGATAAACACAGATGAGCATAGATATCAAAAAAAAAAAAGGTATAAAATATTTTAAAACTCACCACAGAGGATTCCCAGCCCAAGAGAAAACATCAAAGTGTATCCAAAATAGAAGCTGGTTTGGAAGAAGCCTGACATCTTCGTTTTAACATAATAGTAGTATATAGAGTAAAGGTACACATAGACAGCTGTTGAGGCTGCAGAGAAGAATGATGTCCATTGCCAGTGATAGTTCTCAGCATTTAGCAAGAAATATGTCCCAACAATAGTCACACAAACAGTTACAATGGTGAGAATCAGAAAAACCAGCAGCATAAAGCCATAGACATAATAAACCTGCAAGGCACAATGGTAAAATAAGCATATTTCGTTCAAACATACATCAATTTTACATCATCAGGACAAAAGAAATGTGTGTGCTCCAAGCAATCACATAGATGATTAGCTAGCAAAGGAATCTCAGCTTTGGTTGTCAAGCAAAAATAGAAATTTACCTTGTAATTCCAAAAGGATGTGAAGACAAAATACATCTCAATGAATATACTGCCAAAGGGTAAAAGTCCTCCCATCAGTGAGACCACAGAGGGTGTAAGATACCATTTTTTCTCTGGAATTGGCCGAGGAATGGTCTTCACACGACAAGGATTATCTGGAGCACCACTCCAGTTTCTCCCAACAACTGTACCAAGAAGTGCTAGAGGGAATGAAATGAAAGCCCAGATTACGAATACCACCACCATTGTACCAAAAGGAATTGCTGCCAGAGATCCATAAAATATAGCAATTGTGTTCAAGATAAACCCAATCCCAAAGCACATAAAAGGGAACAGAGATGCTGTAAGGATCATTGACTTTATCCATTTTTTACCTGGCAACACAAACATAACCCAACCTTAGCACATTGTGAGCAAAATAGGGACATGTAACTCGGAAAGATAGGCAAATGTGAATAGATACTCCTCTGTCTCAAATTATCTGTCAATATAATAAGCTTGCACATAACTTCAAGTAATATTTTTATATAGCATAAATGACAATTGAAAATTTTTTTGTGTCAATACGTAGTTCTTTTTTAGTAGTTTCATTTGGTCAAAAAAATATTTCCAATTACCATTCACATGCCATATAAAAGCATTACCTAAGGTTACATGCAAGGTAGTCATCCAACAGATAACTTGAGATGAACACAGTAAAAAAGGCACACATACCCCCATGACGTGAGTACATCCCACCACTCACATAACCAGAAATGAATGATGTAAACGCATAGCAGAGTATAAAAGTGGTCACAATTGCTCCTCTCCTGAAAAGTTTTAATATTATTATTTGTCAACAAAAGATTATAAAGATGGAAACCCACATGGTATATACTGTGCGACCAATGATGCCTAAATAGAAATGCAAAATTACAAGAGAATCATTATAGACAAAACACAAATCAAGCTATGTAAAAGCTCATAGATAAGAACAAAGAATGCAGATCATCAAGAAAAATAAGTAATCAAGAAAACCAAATAGCTAAGAAGTAAGAACTATAGTTGTAAAAAACATTGTGGGAGAGAGAATTTCAAACAACAATCTCCCTACATTCATGAATGATTTTAGGCACATCAAAAGCACTCTCTTCTTAATGATCATGATACGACACACTGCATCAAATCCAATCCACAGATTATATTCAAGTATTTAATTAGTAAATGTTCCACATACCCAACATATAAAGTTCCCACAATTGCCAATAAGATGACCAGGAGAACAAGCATTGCTAATTGAGCACCAGTGCCAACAACAGCTGAAAGGACAACTAAATTGCGAGGAGGCCGAAAAACATCCCCATGGACTAGTTTCCAACCAGACTCTTCACTGACATCCCTTTCCTGAGTTATTATTGGTAGTGACCATTTTTCAGTAAAACAGTCAAAACCAATAAGAGATGGAAAAAAGTTCAAAATAATAAAAACAAGCAAAAGTCAAGGAATCTCACCAAAGTCTCTAGATCATCATCTTCCCGAGCATATTTTGCATAGTCATTTCTAAGAGTCCGCATCAAGATCATAGACACCAATCCAGTAAGGAAAATGACCATCATGAATGAATTGAAAATGGAAAACCAATGGATCTGCACATTAAAAGTGTGAATTTGCAACAATCAGGAAATTAAAGTAAATATAACAGCCTGAAATGCAGACCTTACCAAAGATAAATCAAATACATTATTGCACAACAATTGAGATTGAAGAGAAAAAAAAAAGGAAAAAATGATCAGTAAAAACGCTAAGACAAAGAAACATCAACCCTTCTATTTACCTGGTGCTCAAAGAAAGGGTAATCCAAATAAACATCAAAACGACGAGCAAAAGTGACATTAGTTGGGATCCATTTGACAGAGTATGTCAGGTCCAATGTTCTCCCCACCTCCAATTGCTTGGAACTCTCATGAGTAAGATTCACATGGATAATCTGCAAAAATATAGAAATAGTATAAATACTAATAATGGAATCACTAAATCTTGAATCAAATCCATAGAGGATATCAGAAATCACAGACCTGATCCTTATTGTATTTAATAATAATATTCTTATGCGTGTGGAGGACATGCTTGCCATTATCACCATTCTTATCTGGACGCAGCTCACCAACAAAATCTAAAACATTACCAAGATTCATTACTTACAAGCAAGATATCCAAATATTCAAAATATACAGAGACCAAAAAAAAAAAAAAAAAA